TTTTTTTTTTTTTTTTTTTTTTTTCCTTCTAAATAATAGGCAAGAAATGATGAATAAGATTATCATCATGATCTTTCCATGTAACCGTGAGTTTTTGAGAAAATACTATTATCTATTAGTGGTATCAATATTTTACTTCAATAACCTGGTAAAGGTGCATTGATATTTGATATTAGCTTTTGTAATCTACAAGGGAAGGAGGATCACTGGGATATGGAAAGCCAGAAGGAAGGTGATGGTGATGCATCTGATCCAGAAGCTGATTATGAGGAGACTTTGAAGAGCCCATTGCTCTCACGTCAGACGTCAACCACGGTAGACAAGGATGTCGTCTCAAGGAGAGGCAGCAGCATCATGATGCGACCAAATGCTGCTGGTGAGACCGTAAGTGCTACGGGAATTGGTGGTGGCTGGCAACTGATGTGGAAAAGAACCGAGCGAGTTGATGGAACTGGGAAAAAAGAAGAGGGATATCAAAGGATATACTTGCATCAAGATGGCGCAGATGCGCACCAGCATGGATCTGCTCTTTCTGTTCCTGGAGGTGAAATGCAGGGAGAGGGAGAATATATTCAAGCAGCTGGTCTGGTCAGCCAATCTGCACTACGAATTGGCAGTTTTCCTATCGGATCAGAAGTCATGCGTCCAACTGAAAAGGCCACTAAAGGGCCATCATGGAAAGAGATCTTCGAGCCAGGCGTTAAACGTGCACTGTTTGTTGGGATGGGAATTCAAATTCTTCAGCAGGTGGTTTTTTAAATCCCGTACACAGTCATTCCACTTTTAATGAAACCCTTTTTGGATTTTCTTTTTGCATTGCCAATCATGGACAATTTTCTTTTGTTAATGCAGTTTTCAGGTATAAATGGTGTACTTTATTACACACCTCAGATTCTAGAACAGGCAGGAGTCGCAGTGCTTCTGTCCAATCTGGGTCTTGGTTCAGCCTCTGCATCACTGCTCATTAGTGCTCTGACTACATTACTGATGCTTCCTTCCATAGGCATTGCCATGAGGCTGATGGACGTAGCTGGTAGAAGGTAAACAAAAATAACAATCCATTGTTGTTCAGAATGGTCTTTGAGTTGCTCCTGTGACTCAATTATGACCATGAAGCTTTCTTTTTCTTGCAGGTCTCTTCTGCTATCTACCATTCCTGTACTTATAATATCACTGATCGTGCTTGTCATTGGTAGCTTGGTGAACATGGGTTCTGTTGCCAATGCAACAATCTCAACCATCAGTGTTGTAGCTTACTTCTGTTGCTTTGTCATGGGCTTTGGTCCAGTCCCCAACATCCTCTGCTCCGAGATCTTTCCAACTCGAGTTCGAGGCCTTTGCATTGCTATATGTGCCCTCACATTCTGGATCGGAGACATCATCGTCACCTACTCACTTCCAGTTATGCTCACTTCCATCGGACTCGGCGGGGTGTTCGGTGCCTATGCCATTATATGCATCATTTCCTGGATATTCGTCTTCCTCAAAGTTCCGGAGACCAAGGGCATGCCCCTGGAGGTGATCTCTGACTTCTTTGCAGTGGGAGCCAAACAGCCTGATGCTGCAGATCTTTGACTTGACATCAGATTTTGGTTGTATCAGATTTCATAATGAGATACTCATTCTTCATATTCAGCATATGTTCAGTTTGCTTATTGAATCTTCAAGTAAAATTTTGACCAATGAA